CCCCCCAAATTCTCCCAAATCTTAAAAAACTGTAATAAACTTATTGCGAAAAATATTGCCTCGGCCGGGAGTCGAACCCGGATCTCTTACATTCCGTGTGAGCGTCCTGAGCCTTTAGACTACCGAGGCCTTAGCAACACTCTTCGCAATAACCTTGTTTCCAATCATATCGTAAATATTTTATGATTTTTTGTACATACACACACACACACACACACACACACACACACACACACCCATACACAATCATCTGAATCATTTTTCAAGTCAATGTTTATCTTGAAAACAACATAAAAACAAGAAAGCAAAATTAATAGGTATAAATAATATTTACTCAAATCTAAACGTTTTTTACGTTTTATAAATGTTTGTACAATTGTGTAATAATTTATTAGAATATTCTAATAATGCGCAAATATTTATTTATAATTTTCGCGTAATGTACGTTACACTCCCATAGCATTAAAGTGTGTGACACTGCAGTTGTTAAGCCATCAATTTAACTGCATTTCGTGATAGCATTATAATAGCCTTTTTAGATCTACATAATCTTACAATACTGTAGTATGCATAGAACATTCATCGCAGTTTGCTAAGTTTCTCGCAACATATAACGCAATGTATGACGTTTTTTCAATTTTTTTCAAACAAATATACTTGTTACGATTGATTGAAAATGATTATGATTAATTTCTCTCGGTTTGAATTTTTTATATATGAATATTTTAATTTAATTTTGTCATCTTTAATATGTAAAAAGTTTTTATTTTCTATTTATTTTGTATTTTTTGCAAAGGTTTAACCATAAAAATTAACGCGAATTTTTCACAGAAGTTGGTTAAAATTTCGTTCAAACAAAATTAAACATAAAAGTACAGACATATCTCCATATTAGTTGCAACGTATAAGTTATTACATGCATGTTACGCAATGCGATTTGTGAAGAATTTACGTTATAAGATGTCATTTGATTCCATCTCAGACAGGCCTTACGTGAACTTGTCAAACGATAGAATAGTTTTAAAGGTATTCCTTCATTTGATTGAGATTTTGCGCGAGGATCCTTTAGCTTTATGATTATATAAATGTGTAATGATTGAAAAATATTGCGTTCCGTGATGATGCGAGACATAACATTCACAAACGTCTCCCAAAATTATACATATAACTTAATAAAGAATTTTTTCAGAATTTTTTATCAACTTTTTAGTACTGAATTTTCTTATTTTTATCAACATGAGAAAATACATTATTAAAAAATTCTGAACAAATTCTGAAAAAATTCTCAGAACTTTAGAAGAAAATAAACAATTTTTCTGTAAAATTGATAGTATCTGAGTAAAAAATATAGAAGACTAATTTTCGGTAATTATTAGCAATTAATATCTTATTACTACTGCGAAAATTGCAAAATGGTAGAGGACTTTTCTTCTTAGTTTAATCCATTCTATCTCCGTATGAAAGATTTATCGTTACTTATTAAACACCCTGTATATTTTGTAACGCGACAAAACAAAAAAATATATTATAATAAAAAATTAATAAAAAATAGCAAAGTTCTTCGTATCAGGATTACGGATAAAGTTTAAGTTTATTTATAATTTCTTGAATTTGTTAACATATTAGCATCTCAAAAAGTTATTTGAATCATATAAAATTGGAATTTTATTTTTCTAAAAATATTTCACGATTTTTTAATTAATATATAGGCATCGATTATTACTGCGATAAGCACACGTATTCGAAATTTTTTATTTGAGTTATTGTTACTTTATCAGAAATATTAGGGAAATCTCGATGTGTATTATAAATTTTTTTATGTCAATTTTCTGTTTGAATGTTTTTGAATTTTGTGCGAGTTAACAATGTAATATAAAATATTTATTTTAACATATTTTTTTCGACAACAATTTATTTTCAACTGCCTCTTATAGTAGATAATTTAAAATAAATAGATGAAATATTAAAGGAATTAAAGGAATTTAATATCTCGTAAAACCGATTTTTCCGGTTTTGAAAATTAGATATTTATAATGACAGTCAAACTCAATAATCTAAGAATCCTTTTCACTTCTTTAGGTGCTATTCTGACTAGCCAGCACGATTTTATTAATATCCACGCTAGGAAACAAGAAAGAAACTTTAGAGTTTCAAGACAGCACTGTTCGAGTGCCAAAAATAATCGAACTGGAGGTGAACCTTGCGGCCGATGTGTTCCGCAGTAGATATACAGCCAATCGAGTGTCTGATCTGCCATCGTGAGCTTTCACGTATCTGTGCTTTTTCTAAAAAGTTGAAGAGTGTAACGTTCCATTATAGGAACGAATAGCGCGAAGATTATAAAGAAAGAGGAAACGGACGCGGCGAGTTTTGTTCATGCCGAGTGCAGGTCGATGTTTCATCTTTTACTTCGTGTTGGTGTTCGTCGTATGTCTGGCTAAAGATGCTCACATGTGAGTTCCGCATAGCGTTGTAAAGAACGCAAGTCATGAATGTGCTTTGAATTTGTATTGTAAATCAAAAAGAAAATTAAAAAATTAGAAATATAGAATAAAAATATTAGAAAAATTACAAAATGATAATAAAATATTTACAAGATTATATTTAGAAGATATGTTTTCGATTGCCTATTTAAACAAGCTTACATACCTAAAATGGAGATAGGCTAAACTAATTTTTTAATTAAATATTATACGAGTATTTATCTTTATAGTATATTTTAATTTATACTACTTATTATTATTATATTTTTTGACTGCAACTCCAATTAAATCGGTGTGCTTTCCTGGATATTTAAATTAAATATATTTGCAATTTCTTAACTCTCACTAGCGTGGCCAAATGGGCGGATAAATTGGGTACTGAGTTATGGGAACTCGCGAACGAAGTGGGTCGGCCCGAAGAATTACTAGAAGTGAGTATTCGCATTTACTTGAGGTAATAAACTTCAGATACTGAGAATTCAAGAAATTCTCTCTACGCAAGATAACATATTTTTACTTGATTTTATCCAAACAAGAAAAAAGTCGAATTACAATATTTCTTTAATATAGTTTTGCGATTATTTGTAAAAAGCAAGTCTACATTCATTTTAATACTTAATTTGTAATTCATCACATGAATTTATTATAGCAAGAAGAAATATTTCATTTTTTAACAAATATCTTTAAGAAATATCTTATTTTTTTAATGATATAAAATCCTTTGTATATAATTTTCTAAACATTTTTAATTTATATGTTTCTAACATTTATATATTTCTAACACTGCCAAGAAACCATAATAAAAGATATTAATGTTAAATAATTATTAAACAAGTAATTAAACAAGTAATAATTTTTTTAGAAATACAAAAGTATGAACGCGCGAGTTGAAGATAAGTCCGGAGAAGAGTTGATCAACATAATTAGCGAAAATGTAGGTAGGATGTTACGTCGAAAGATGGACGCAATCACCTGCATTCGAATAGCAGCCGAAGAGGCTGCGGAGAACTGGGACCCATCTTTCCTAGACGGCAACTTCTCTTACGTTTCCGGTAAATGTAGTCCTGTCATCGGTCATGATTCAGCGAACAAGAAGAAACACTGTGACATTCACAAGAAGAATGTGAACGTGTTCAGGTAAGCAATTTACTCTGCCTCACTGTACCTTTCTTCTCTTCAAATTGCCACAAGAATTAGTTACGGAGTTATTAAGGTTAAAAGGCAAGAATTTTTGCGGATTAAAACTGAATCATGCAAATGCAACGTTATTAATAGTGGAGGAACTTGTTGTCATAAACGTTAGACAACTAAAAAACTAACAAAGGTAATTCTTTTACTAATTCTATAGAATCTTTTTTATTTTTCTACTAAAATGTGCGTAAGTAAATTAAACTAATTCTGTATAAAATCAGAAATAAGATATTCTCATGATTATTATATTACATTTTTTCTTACAATTTTTTCCGACATAAAAACATTTAATTACACGAGAGAATTAGATTTATACGGTATTAGTCAAATTGTACTAGTAAGATAAAAGAATCATGAAAGTTTTTTTTGAAAAATATTTAATTATTTAAATCTATAATTTAAATACAAATGTTTCTACCTCTATTATTAGGTCATCCTCAGATTTCTAGTCGTAAACATTTGTATTTAAATTACTTGAATAATGATTGAATATTTTTCGCAAAAAAAAAACTAGCATTTTATACTCCTTTTATTTTATAATTTGATTTATTCGTAAAGCCTTTTTTTTTTTTGAATTTCATTATTATATCATAGAATTTTATATATACACTGCACGATAATTTGTGAATATAATTTTGAGTTTTGTTTCTGTTCAAATAACTATATTTTACACACAATTTCAAGATGTAACTATTTGTACAAAATTAATTTGGAACAAAATTATTGTTAATAAGTATAAACAATAATATATTGTTGAAAACAGAAAACAAATTACGTGATCGACAAAGAGATTTCACGAACTGATTCTAGAGACATGGAATTGATTTCGGACTCGCACTTCTATGACATTCCGGTAAATACGACTTATTCATCGGTTCATATACCAACCAACGTGTATGATCTCACGCAAGATGTAGCCGAAGATATTGCAAGGACTGAACCATTGGACGATATATTTCGTCAGAATTATGAATCCGATCCGGCATTGTCATGGCAATACTTTGGTACAGTCACTGGTGTACTCCGACAATATCCTGCTATGCAATGGCGAATGAATCCCAAAGACACCAACGATGATGATGATGATGATGATAATACAGTTGATGATAATAATAATAATAACAATGTTAGCAAAAATAATAACGAAAACATCGATAATGTTAATGATGATGACAACAACGGCGATGACGATGATGATTCTCCTGCTGATCAGTACGATTGCAGAGTACGTAGTTGGTTCATCGAGGCGTCCACGTGCAGCAAGGATATGGTGATTCTAATGGACGTCAGTGGCAGCATGACGGGTTTTGGAAAGACGATCGGTATGGGAGATTAGTTTTATTGAATGAAATTGGAAGTGTATAACTAAAACTTTTATATCAATTAATCAAGTTTCATAGAAAATTTTACAGCTTTAGATAAATATGACGATGAAACAAAAAATTTTCAATTTGATAAATTAATATTTGTTATTTTTAATTAGTTTATCGCGACTGTTAATTTTATAATTGAAAAGTTGTAATTTAATATTGTTGAGAAGAGTGTATTAATCGCTTTGTCTTAATAATGTTATGTGGCAGCAAAGACGACAGTGAACTCGATTTTGGATACCTTATCGAATAACGATTTCGTCACACTACTAAAATATAATAACGGGACGACCGAACTCGTGCCGTGTTTTAAGGATATGCTAATTCAAGCGACTCCAGAAAATCTCGACACATTCAAAAAATCCATGAACGAGATTGATACAGATAACGTCGCCAATCTCACGGAGGCCTTCACTAAAGCATTCAGTCTACTTAAAACTTATCGGGAGGAACGCGGTTGTGACGCCGACTCACCGTGTAATCAGCTCATCATGCTTGTTACTGACGGTGTTCCTGGAGGAAAACTGGGGAATAATCTAAAGGAGGTTATATAACATAATTATTGTAATAATTTATTTTACAATGGAGTATTCATTTTACTATTTGAATCAAAAATAAAATCATTGGTATGAGTATTTTTACTTCTAACCTTTGACAGTCATCGAAATTCTCGAAGGATAGTTCACAACCATACTACTTTCCGCGATATAAAGTGGAACAGATTACTTTTCGTAGTAAACCATAAAATATATTAATTTTCGAGATATATAGTGAAATATATTATTTTTTGCGGCTAAAGGCCATTAAACGCACAAACATATTATTATTCGTGGTATAAAATGAAATGTGCTACTTTTCGAAAGTCAAAACTCAAATGTATTGATTTTCGCGGCGAAAACGGAAACATAACGTTCTTTGTCGCAACGATATCATAAGTGGAGTTTTTCGTAGGACAAATGAGACGTGCTATTCTTCGTAGCAGATGTCGATATATTTAATATGATGAATAGCTCATTTTGTTCCAGCAAACGAGAATGGATTAAAATAGATTCAGATTTTTAAAAATACGGATTAATTGAATGTTAAAATAAATCCTTTCCAATCCTGAATGCATTTTTATTTATTTATAGGAATAGTATGCTTTTTAATCTAAAAATAATATTATAGTATTTTCATGAATACTGCTTAATTTAAAATTCTGATTAAGAAATGTAATTTTTCAATCCAGTTGAATATAAAAAAAGTTTGTCTTTTAAAATAGGCCATGAATACTATTTAATTTAAAATTGTGAGTAAAAAATCCATTGTTTTATTTAAAAATGCATTATGAATGCTATTTTATTTAGAATTATGAATAAGAAATTTTTTGCTTTAATTCTGAGTTAAAAAAAAAGTTGTACCATAAAAATATATCATGAATTCTACTTCACTTAGTAGTTAAAAGAAACATAAAAAGAATTACGTAAATATGTACAATAAATGTCACATATATAAATTCCTTATTTTTAATTAATAAATTAATTGCTTTTATGTATATTTTATATTAATATGTTTCCTTTACTATACAACTAGCGTATATATTTTGTATAAAAATTTTAAAATAATAAATATAGAATTTCATGTAATTACTACTTTAATTGGTTTAAACTTTTACATGTATAAACATTTTTTATATGAAATTCAATCCATTCAATTTATTTCAATCCATTTTCATGAATTTAAAGTATGCATTTATAAAATTTTAATGCATTTTAATCTATTCTCATTTATTGGAAGGAAATTTATTTTCAAGTCAATTTTCAAGTTATTTTTTATCCATTTCATGAACAGAAACAAATTTATGTTCTTAGATATCAATTCATTTTAATCCAGCTCCATAATTTCTAAACTCTAAACCGCGAATAAATTAAAATGAATTGCAATGCATTTTTAATTCATTTCAATCCATTTTCGTTTACTGAGCCTTCACTCTTTTCTGTTCTGAAAAATTTTTTTACAAGGATGTGTAAATAGTGAAAGAAGTAACAACAATATCCCAATAATGTAAGATTATTTGTAGAAATAAATATATCGATGAAATAGTTTTAAAAATAAATAATGACAATAGAAATTTTTCTGAATGAACATTACTGTATGATTGTGACTTCTATTTCTTTCATTTTAGGTATTCAAAAAATGGAATTGGAATGAAAATAGTACTCATGTACCGGTGCGAGTATTTACATATCTTATAGGCAAGGAAGCGACAAAGATGGATGAACTCCAGTGGATGATAAGATCGTGTTTAAATCGTGGCGACTACAAGCACATACAGACGCAGGAGGAAGTGCGCGAACAAGTGCTCAAGTACATTCCAGTCGTAGCGCGTCCTTTGGTACTTCAGAGTGTGGTACATCCTATCGTGTGGACGCACGCTTACGCTGATATCACGGTAGGAAATATTAAAAACAAAACTTTTAAAAGGTCCAATTTTAATCTAATCTTTTCCCATCATTCTGTGTGAGCAATTAAAAAAAGTTTTTTAAATGATAATAAATTTAAAAGAAGTATATTGTGAAATTATTATGTACTTCTATTATTTAATACAAATTATATAATACAATTGTATAATTATATAATTTGTATATAACAAATGTATTACTCATTTGCTCAGTTAAAAAAAATTTATCTAAAAATTAAAGATGATATTATAATTTGTGATACGAAAAATTTTAAATTTTTTGGACGAAAAACAATTTTTTAATTGTAAATTTTAATAATATTTATATATTAGTTTTTAAAATTCTACAATTGTAATTTGTTACTACAAATTTCGTTTTTTTATATTTTTTACTATGTCTTAATGTTTTGTAAAAGCGAAAACATATATAGGGAGAATAAAATAAACATACGTAAATCCCATCAGAATCCAGCACTTGCCGCTTGGCTGTGGTGGGTGATGAAGCACGGGCAACAAAAATCGCGACTGGAAAAGTATCTGAAAGGAAAACGGCTGGGCGTACGAATAAACGAGGACGCAATCTACATACAGCAGGTTTAGATAAGATCAAGAAAGCACCCCCGCTGTCTGTTCCTAGGCTTTCCAAATAGTTCACACTCCGTGTAGATTTATATCATGCTATATCTCCTTTGGCATAAGCTCCTGTATTTAATCTTTCGAATACCAAACGGGAGTAAAATTGACGAGACACAATTTTGTTAAAATTTTTTTTTTAGAAAAGGTATATTTAAAAATTGGTTATTATATTTTTAAATCAGTGGATAATTTCCAACTTTGATCACTCTGTTTGGTAATTCGTGTAAGATCAAGCGAGATAATAAATAATGGCATATTTAATTAAATAAATATTACTTTTTACTGATTTCAGAATTAGATTTGAGAATCTAATCTCTTGAATATCTCGCTCAATCTTAAAGTCAAAAGCTTAATACCTAGAGGAATTAATTAATGTAGTTCGTTGAAGTGTCGATTCGGAGAACTGGACGAACACCCACAAATAATTTATCGCTAGGCATTGAGACTAATCGATGCAGCGAGTGGTCTTCGACCAATTAGTTATCGTTAGCAGATTGAATACTTCAAGCTAGGTTTAGTACCCTGTTGGCTGGGCTTCATCAATTTTAATTTAATTCATTTTTTATTTATTTCCCATTGTTAGACCAGTGTTAGCTGCTGTATAAAATGTTTGGGATTAAGCGGACAACCAAAGATCTCGAGTCTTTAAAAATATCACTGAACGATGAGATTTCTTAAATCAGATGCTGATTTAAGAATATTACACGCGATAAAAATATGTTTCTGTAATCAGTTCTCATGGGATTTCGGTTGCACCCTTGGTTCCGAAACACGCTCTATATATTGTACCTCGGTATTGATGTGACCGAGTATGAATTAGATAGCGTGGCCCTTCGCTTTTGTTCCAACCTATCAACGTATTCACTCCTCTTAACGAAAGAAAATTATAAAGGGGATGATATATTGCTATCGAAAACTGTTTTTCAATTTCGCAATCGTTCTGTGTAGCTGCACAAGGATGAGAACATTGAGGAAGATTCATCCACCCTGAACACCACAACCTGGCAAGAATACAGTCTGTTGACTTCTGTAAGCACACCTGTGTTTGATCGTAAAAGCAATCGCAGCAACATGACAGATGCGGCGAATGACACACTATTCGGTGTGGCCGGTACAGACGTGCCGATTGACGACATCCGCAAACTTACGTTGCCATATAAACTCGGTGTGAATGGCTACGCCTTTATTGTATCCAATAACGGCTATGTGATATTGCATCCAGACCTCCGGCCAGTTTACAAAGGCCGGCTTAAATTGAATTATAACAGCATCGATCTCACGGAGGTAGAGATACTTGACGACGGACGCGAGCCGAGGTACATAACACAACGACATTTTCGTCATTTTATAGTTTCTTTCCTCCATAAATAGATAAATACAAAATATTGAATTAATTATTTAAAAAAATGAAACATTTTATATTTTAATCGTTGAACGCTTCTTTTATTAAGTATTATCTTTTATTTGAAGTGTTCATTAATTAAAAATGAACACAGGAATCCGGGTCCCGAATTATTGGAGCTGAGATCAGCGTTGGTGGATCACAAGCGAGGTAACATGATGGGAATTTCCGTGAAATTACATTATGATGACAATCGTCGAGTCAATCTTGAGAAACGTGACTATTTTTACGCGCCCCTACCTGGCACTCCATTTGGTCTTGCGGTTGTTTTACCCAATTATGGAACTACCTGGATTAAGGTAGAAGCAGCACCAGAGCAATTTCATTATCTTTTTTAAACAATCGCATTTAAAATAATTCTAATGCACAACTAATTATACTAATTAATAAATTATTACAGCATAAATTGTATCAAGTAATAATTAATACGCAATTATGCTCATGGTATTGTGAATGTATGCTCAAATAATTGTATGTCTAATTTTTCAAGGTCGGCGATGAGATTCGCAGAAATCAGAATATGAATGTGAATGTGTCGGATTATTTTGTGGGCGATCATTGGCGCGTACATCCTAGCTGGGTATATTGTCGTTACCATTATTTGGAAGGTCATGAGTTTAATAGGCCGGAAGACGAGTTGCGTCATTTCTTGGCGCTGATGAGCCGGCCTGGTTGGCGCTGGTCTGAGCAATATGAGGCTTATTCATCTATAGATGAAGATATTGACGAAGAACCCAACTGCGGTAGACAAACGCTCAAGCACGATGACTACTATTGCAACAAAGAACTTATGCAGTTGCTTGTATTTGATGCCAAGGCGACGAACAACAGCTTCCGCGGTGACTACATGGAGAATTTACCTTCAAGGGCTCGGGATCTCGCACGTCACTACGGTATCTTTATAAGATTTATCGCCACGCAAAGCGGGCTCACCAGGTGGCATCATCTTAAAGCCAGCAAACTGCCGAATGTGGACGACAGTGTTGTTTTCGGTGATCTTCATAGACGAGCAGTGAATGAGCCTTGGTACAAAGGCGCAATCTTTCAAAGTGAATTAGATTCCGAAAGTATTTCTTTATCTGGTAAGAGTCATATTCATTATGGATAGGACATAACATTTTTTTATAATTACTGTTGTGTGTTTATGTGTGCACGTTTTTTTTTAATCAATCGTGAAATTGCCTGTATGAGCCGACACAAGGTTTTCTAGTGTGTACATTCTTCATTAAATTTAGATCTAATCAATAAACGTTTTGATCCATCTTTCGGATCCTCTTTAATATAATTTAATGTACAAAATTCTCCTGTATAAATTGTCTATCAGTAATAAGTTGATCTCTCTTAATGATAAAAACGTTGCGTAATGTGATCAAAGAGGAGATGAAATTTTACATTCTTATACTTTACAACGTTTTTATAACTTATTGCGGATGGATATATAGAAGAATTTTGTATGCATTAAGTTACATTGAAGAGGATCCGAAAGATAGATCGAAACGTTTATTGATCGGATCTAAATTTAAAGAGCTTACACACTAAAAAATTTTGTATTGGCTCATATAGATATGATTTCACGATTGATTTAATTTTAGCTGAGCCTAAAATAATTATTAAATATTTTTGTTTAAATCATCTTTTATAATCATTCTGTAATTTAAAATCAACATTTATATAATTACTTATTATTATGATTTATATTTGAAATAAGTAGTAGTATAATATATAAAACAAAATATCATTGCAGTTCCGTGGGAAGCAGGCGCGGACGCGATAGTGACTGCTTCGATGAGCCTGTCGCCCAAGGATGGCGGCAAGAAAGCGCCAGCGGCTGTAGTGGGTTTTCAAATGCCGATGAAAGATCTGTATAAGCGGTTCATTGCATTGACCTCAGACAATCAGACGACGAATACGGTAATAAATTGCGCCCACAATTGGATTGACTGCTATTTGCTAGACCAAAACGGCTATGTAGTGATCTCAGACGCACATAATGACACCGGACAATTTATGGGCACTCAGGAGGGTGCCGTCATGCTATCCATGGTCAAACAGGGTCTTTACAATCCGGTCGACATTTATGATTATCAAGCTTGGTGTCAGGAGACCGTAAGTAATATATGTCAAAGAATAATATGATAATCGACAAAAATAATAATTATATTAAAAGTATTAATTATAATTAAAAAAATAATTACATTAAAAATATTATATTAAAAGATTATATTTAAATATATTTCACATACTTGAGTTTTTAATAATTATAAAAATTAAAAATAAAAAAATTTGTATTTGATGAGAGAATAAAAAATAGCATAAAGAATAAGTTTATTCTCAAAGCTTTTCTATCATTATTTTTTTTATTTAAAAAAAGAGGATGCTTTTTTACGGAGACGCAAATTGTTTCAGCGAATCGATAACTCTGCCAACAGCTTAATGGAACCGTTGCAACATGTTGTAAGATTGTTGTTCTGGTTTCTGTTGCGGTTGATATGGTACGCGACCCAGTTTGTAAACTTGCCTGGCATTTATGGCAAAGTTCACTTTGATGAGGATGCACCAGATCCGCCGCCACCACCAAAACCCTATCTTTATCACTATCCCTGTGATCAAAAGCGAACACTCTATATGTTGAACAAAACCGTTGCTGTTAAAGGCGTCACCAATCACTCCGATTATTGCTCGCGGCCTTTTTATGCTCAGAGAGTAAATATTTTTTATTTTACTTGAGATGGAGGATAAGATTTTACGATTTTTATACATACAATACTAAGCAAATATTACAAATATATTTTTATCTATTAAAAACTTATTTTATATCTTGTTTGCAATTACTAACATTTTACTTTTAATTTTGATAAGTGCAGCTTTAAGCAGCACTTACTAAGTTTTTAATGAATGTAGAGACTTAGTATGTGTAAAACTGTAATTATTATATAAATATCATACTTTTTAAGACAATCTTAAAACAATCATTATGTTAATCAAAGTATTTACAAAAAAGTACGCGTGAATTAAAAAACGATTACTTATGCATATCATTGTACTGTCAATAATTTCACAATTTAATACTATAATTGTACAATTTATATATTTACAATGCATCAGAATAATGCATTTAAAGTGATTGATTGGATTAGCATGATAAACATTGACGAAAGAATGAAGTAATGAATACATTGAAATTTTTAATATTAAAATCAAATTAAAACAGATTTATGAGAAATTATTTCTTGATTTATTGATGATATTTTGATGTACTCTTTAGAGATGATTGCTCTTTTAGATTGCTAGAGATGATATGCTCTTTTGTAGTTTCCTATGTTCTTTATTTTTCAGTTTATGAAATGATGAAACATTATTAATATATTTATTCTGTAAAATTAATTGATGACAATTTTATATAAAAGAGATATTATATTGCATAAATTACGTGCGTATAATATAATATAATATAATATAGCAATCGAATAGTTTTAAAAAATAATCATTGTATTAATCACTGTATTACAATTTACAGGTAGCACATACTAATCTATTGCTAGTTGTGGTGGACAGCATGTACCCAACGTGCTACAAAAGATTAGAAGTAACACCTGTCAACATCTCACCCTTCGAGTACACAAATAGCACGGGCGACAAACCCTGTCATAAGATTCCATTGAACACTCTAAAAAGACGCAGGCTAAAGAATTGCTTCACAGAACATCCTCTGGAGCATGTGACTTACGGCTGCGGAGCATCTGAACTGATGATATCTTTGTCACTGTTATATATCACTATTGCTAGGATTCTGTATATCTTCATGTGACGGCAAATTAGCCATCCTTGGTATATGGTAACTGTATTGTTTTACAGTAAATAATAAGATAATAAAAAATGAATAAAATGATACAAGAAGTATAAATATTTCTCCCTCATAACTTCATAAATTATTTAATGAAAAATAGCTCTATATACTCGTATATATATATATATAAATATATCATTCTTTAATGTGGAATATTAAATAATGATATTTTAAAATAGATAGATATTAATTTCAATTTTGAAAACATTTTAGCGAGAATTAGTAGTGTAATGTCTCTTAATTTTTATAACACTTAAGCTGATATTCATAATCCGTTTTTATTACAAGATTGTCTTGAGTAATATCTCAACATGGATCTGTGATTGGTTTATGACATCTTAAAATTATTCTAGACGATCTTAAATATAAGAACTAACTATAAATACCGGCCTTAAATAAGAAATAAATAATATTTTAAAATTAAATTTTCTTCTCTATTATTTTCACAGATCTTTTATTCAAGAAGATATTCTATTGTGGCTTATATTATATCCGAAGTAGAAAAGAAAGGCACAAAGGATAATTTTTATGCGTTATGATACAACACTTAGAAATGACATACACATGCGAAATAATACACATCGATGAGGCAGCAAATTTTATGAACGATTTTTATTAATGAACATATCGTCCAAAATAGTAACAAATTTAGCAATAGTAAGTTTCATTTTTTAATTAGCACCCTAACGATTATCGTATTTTTTTTTATCGAACACATTCAAAAGATAATCTAATCAATTCTGATACTCGACAGTTGTTGTAGTCACGCGTCGTTTGCTCGTGTTTTCCATGCGCAAGCCTGGTCGGAAAATCGATAAACCTGAAAAGCATTTATAGGCCCCGCGTGAGTCGCCACCAAGTTAGTGAGTGCGCATACGACGACGGCGACGATCGACGTCGAGCAGAACGATCGTAGTTATTCTTAATGTGAAACTCGAGCCTTAATTTTATTTACCGTGTCCTCGCGCACGAACAATCCCTCCTAAAGCAGATCAAGGCAGCCAGCAGGTGATCAGGGAAAGTTATGAGGTCCTGCTTTATACCTGTCATCGTCGTTCTGATCCTGACCGAGATACCCGATCGAAGCGACAGCATTTCCCATAATATGTAAGTACCTCGTGGCCTGGCAATCATCTGTCTATCTCTGTTTCTGTAATCTCTTGCGGTACAGTATTTTTTAGTTCTATGGCAATAACATAAGCTCGATTAACCCGTATTCATACAGTAACGAAGCGATAAATAATATTTAGGTCAACCGTGAAGGACTGTGTCTCTTGGAATTGTTGTAATGACGGCATGTTCCACAAAAGATGTGCTTTCGGAAATAAAAAAAAATCTTGTGAAAATTGCTTAATCGTTTAGTAAATATTTGTCTCGCGAAAATTATTATTACAATCTCATTATTATTTATTAAATATGAACTGGATTTTTATGTATATATATATATATATAATACACTTCCAAATTTATACGAACGCGTTATCTTTTTTCAAAAAATTAGAATAACTTTTTTTTTCGTTTACTCATATAATATAAGAGTTAAGATTTATCACTTCATTTAAAGGAATCGATTTTTTTCGAATGAGATAGTTGTCGTTTCGTTAGACTGCTGTTGCAACCAATTAAAAATTACAGTTCACATAATTTTGTTACCCTATGAACAAACTGTTTTTATTCCATTTTATTAACTCCGCGATATGAAAAACTGCTATAAACAAAAAATAATATAATATGATGAAAAATAATATGATAATACTGATCTCTTATAAATAAAATAGTAATAAAGTAAATGTTTTTATCCAAATTTCTCTATGAAAATTATTATTATTTTATGATGATTACTTTACTCTTTTAATTGACAGAGTGAAAGGATGGGCGTACAAACTGGGTTTCGAGCTGTCACAATTGGGCAAATTCGTGACGAAGGTGGAGAAGTTCAAAGACAGCTACAAGACGGCGGATATCACGCCACGTGACGGAAACGCTCTCGTTCACGAGATTGCTAAAGACATTAAGACTATGATGGAGTCCAAGATCTCGGCTATTAGAGTGCGATTTTTTTATTTTGTCTCATTTACGTTAAA